CAAGCCAGGGCAAATTTATACTTTCTTTATCCCTCACCTGAGGATATTTTTCTACTTATTATCAGATAGAGCAGGAGGGAGAGAAAAAAAGACCGAGAAAAACATCGATGTGATAGAGCCACATCGACTGGTTGCCTTCCTTATGACCTGACCAGGGCCAGGGATGAACCACAATCGAGGTATGTGCCCTTGATTGGAATCGAACGCGCAACTCTTTGATACGCAGGCTGACGCTATATCCGCTGAGCCAAACCGGCCAGGGCCAAATTCATACATTTTTATTTCCTTTGCTTTCCTTTTAATGGGGTCTCAGAAAGAAGAGAGCTTAGATTTAGCTTTCATATCTTGATTCTATGTCTACTGCCATGGTGACAGCATGCTAATGAGATCTGTGGGGCATGTGTACAGAGGCCAAGGTTCCGCCTCTAACAGTTTCCTTTCTCAGGAAGTAGGGATGGGGCCCACAAAGGCATTGCCATACTTTTCCCCAGACCGGAGGTGGAGCTTCTTGTCTGTGCCAGCTTCCTTTCTCTAAGTCTCACCCAATTACCACCTAGTTTTTAAGTTAGAAGGTGCCTCCTGCTCAGCAGAAGAAGGGTCTTGGTCCTTGTTACTGCTCATAGGCGGGAAGAGAAAAAACAGCATGAAGCAATCGGAAAAGAAATGGATCCCAGAAAGGCTGAGGGATCCAGAGAGAATGTTCAGAGTCAAGTGCCTGCTACCTCAGTAATTTTCTCATAAAGCTCTGCCCCCATCAGGGCCCCTAAGTTTCCTGGGCCTGGGTGTGCTTGCCCCTCAGGTGTGAGGTTGGGTGACAGAAGTGAGGAGAGAGGGAGAAATCCTTAGGTTCTTCCCGGAGATCAGGCTAGCAATTTTCAGTGCTTCCCTGTGTCAGAATCACCTGGGATATGTGTTTCAGTGTTGTTCAGTGAATCTCAGATGCACACTGCAGTTGAGAACCACTGTGTTAGTTTTCCCTGTAGAACATGCCTTTGTCAACCCCCTTTCCTCTGCCTGCAGTATGCTTTTTGTTCTATTTCAACTACAAATTCAAAATGCTGTCAATTTTCTGATTCTTTCAGATGAAAATCATTCCGCCTCTGAAATTCCACAGGTGGTATGTATGAGAACTAGAAAGGGCACCACAAATCTCTGGGAGATAGTCTGCTTAAATAAATTCAAAATAAGTAAGAATACATATATGTAAAGCCCTTTAAGAGATAGAATGACTCCCAGGAGGAAATCAGAGGGAGCTGTTAAGATATTTTAAGTAAAAAACTCAACAATAGTCTGGCTGGTTTGCTCAGTGGATCAGAGCCGAGGGTTTGATTCCGATCAAGGGCACGTACCTTGGTTGCAGTTCACCCTGGCCCTGGTTGGGGTCGTGTGGGGGGCAACCAGTCAATGTGTCCCTCTTACATAGATGTTTCTCTCTCACCCTCCCTCCCACTCTATCTGAAGATAAATGGAAAAATAGCCTTGGGTAAGGATTAAAAAAACAAAAAAACTCAACAACAACAAAACCCAAAAGTCAATTTAAAGGAGGTGGTCAGCATAAAAATAAACAAAAAAGAGCATCACAGAGGTAAAATATGTTTATCCAACCCTGAAGCAGCGAGAGATGGCAGCAGAAAGAAGAAAATGTTCCCTTTGAGGTGTGTGGTATGAATGATGGCTCTTTCTTCAGTTTCTTTTATCTAATTACACAATTCCAAGCAGCATTCTCCCAAATTTGGCTTATTTATTTACTCATTACCTTTTTTGAAACTGAGGAATAATATATTTCAGTGAAATGCATGATCATGAGTGGACAATTTGACGAATTTTGACAAATATTTATACCCATGGAACCAACACCTTGATCAAGATCTGGCAAGATAGTAAGAAGCTAGGGAAATTCCTTTACAAGTGGAATAAGAGAAACTGAGACAAAATTACTAAACAAGGCCAAATGATTTGAGCAATTTACAGCCAAGGACACTAAGGAACAAATGGTTTACACATTTCAGACCCTCCTGAATTGATTGGGCCTCCATCCCGGTCCCTCTTTAATGATGTTCTTGATGACATTCTTTAAAAATGAAACTAACCAGAAAATAACCCCTGGCCCCTTTATATACACATTTTGATGAATCAACATATTGAAAGAAAAGCTAATAAAAATCTATTAAGACTCTCCCTCCCCTGAGACCTTCCCTAGGATTCCAGCCAGCCAAGGAAAGACAAAAAGCCTTAAGACAAAGGAGCCACTGTGCCTTCTCGCTAGAGCATGCCCATGCCTTGTATCTCTGCTCTTTTTCTAAGGGTCCTCATGAGACTAGCAACCAGGGGAGCAGAAGGCAGTGGCAGCTCATCCTGGGCTTACCCCCCGAACCTGTCTCCAAGTCCCCCTTTTCTCTTTGACTTCCCAGTGAGCTCACTTCTGTCACTGTGACTTGAATTTCTCAGTGAGCCAAAGCAGTCCCTCCTAGGCTCTCTCCTGTTGTTTCTGCTATCCTAAGTCCTTCCTCTGTTTCACTGTCCCTAGCTTTTAAATATGTTTTTTTAATTATTATTTATTTTTTTAGAGAGAGAGGACAGGAGAGAGAGAAAGAAACATCAATGTGGCCCTGGCTGGTTTGGCTCAGCGGTTAGAGCATCGGCCTGCGGTCCTGAGAGACCGGGGTTCGGTTCCCGCTAAGGGCATGTACCTTGGTTGCAGTTTGTCCTCGGCCCTGGTTGGTCATGTGGGTGGCAGCCACTCGATGTGTCCCTTTCACATCGATGTTTCTCTCTCTCTCTCTCTTTTCCTCTCTCTCTCCCTCCCACTCTACCTGAACAAAAAAATGGAAAAAATGTCCTCAGGTGAGGATAAAAAAAAAAAAAAAAAAAAGAAACATCAATGTGAGAAACAATGATCAGCTGCCTCCCACACGCCCCTTTCTGGGGATTGAGCCCACAACCAGGGCATGTGCCCTGACCGGGAATGGAACTGGGACCTCTCAGTACATGGGACAACGCTCAACCCACTGAGCCACACCGGCTGGGCCACTGTCCTGAGCTTTAATAAACATTCTCTCAGCTTTAATAAATATACTCTACCCAGGGTCACCCTCTCTAGAGCACGCCCAAGCCTTATAATCTTTGTTTTTTCCCCTAACTCTAAGGCACCCCACGAGACTTGCAACTGGGGAGGGGGCAGTGGGCAATGGCTTGATCCAGCTTACCCCTGAACCTGTTTCCAAGGCCCCCTTTTCTCTTTCTTTCTCTCTCCTGTTGCTTCTTCTACCTTAAGCCCTTCCTTTGTTTCACTGTCCCCAGCTTTAATAAACATACACTCAACATCACCTGGAGTCATGTAAAATCTGTCCTGCACAAAGTCAAGAACCCATTTACTACTGGCAGGCCCAAAGCAGACCTGCTCCAGGCCCAGACCCTGTCCGGTAACAAAGACACAGAGCATTACCATCACTCCAGTGTAAAAAAACAACAACCAGTAAATGGAGCTCCTTTAAAATGGATTTGGAACTGCTATCCTAGAGGAGCTGCCTTATTGAGGCATGTCTTATGCCTCAAAGCTTTGGAATGTTAAAACAGGACAAAATAACTTTTGGACTGGGCCTAAAGCAACACTGTGTCCCAAAGAACTATTTGTAAGGATAACAAGAAAGCAGATGTTATGATTATGAGGTTAATGACTACAAGACTAAAAACTAAAATTATTGTTTAGAATTAACATCACTAAGTTAGCTTATCTGCACCAACAGAAATGCCTTTCTAGCCCTGACTGAGAAGCTCAGTTGGTTGGAGCGTTGTCCCAATACTCCAAGATTATGGATGCAATCCCCGGTCAGGGCATATATAAGAGGCAACAAGTGAATGCATAAATGAATAGACAGCAAATTGATGTTTTCCTTTTTTTTTTTAATTCCCACCCGAGGACATTTTTCCATTTTTTGTTCAGATAGAGTAGGAGGGAGAGTGAGGAAGAGAGAGGGAAACATCGACGTGAAAGGGACACATGGAGTGACTGCCACCCACACAACCCAACCAGGGCTGGGGACAAACTGCAACCAAGGTACGTGCCCTTAGCGGGAACCAAACCCGGGTCTCTCTGGACTGCAGGCCGACGCTCTAACCGCTGAGCCAAACAGGCCAGGACTGATGTTTTTCTCTCTTTTCCTCTCTAAAATTAATTTTTTTTTATCATCCTCACCCGAGGACATTTTTCCATTTTTTGTTTAGGTAGAGTGGGAGGGAGAGAGAGAGAAACATCGATGTGAAAGGGACACATCGAGTGGTTGCCACCCGCACAACCAACCAGGGCCAGGGACAAACTGCAACCGAGGTACGTGCCCTTAGTGGGAACCGAACCAGGGTCTCTCCAGACTGCAGGCCGATGCTCTAACCACTGAGCAAAACCGGCCAGGGCTCTCTAAAATTAATTTTAAAAATTTAAAAAGAAAGTAATACCTTTCTTCTATTGATGTAATTGTTTCCTTTCCTTTCCTTTAAATACTCATTACCTCTGTCTCCTAAATAAAACACTATTTGGGCTTCTGCCTGAATCAGTGCCTCCTGAACAGTTATTCTTTGATCTTAAATAAATGTCTATTGCCTCTCACTTTGGCCTTTTATTTTGGGGTTAGTACCAGAAAGCTCCTTAAGGTCTCTATTTAGTTAGTCCCCTTACCCTCGACTCGGAGGCAACCACTTTTCTATCACCCAGGTCACAGGGTGTGCTGCCTTCTGCTCAACACCATGTTGTGATATTCATCTACACTTCCCCATGTGGTAAGCAGCTGTTCCCTTTTTGTTGTTGAGCACAATCCCTTGGATGAGTATGACTACCATGTTCATTCATTCTCCTTCAGACTCATGTTTGGGACATGGCGGTTTGGGGCTCTTCAGACTATAGCTGCTGAGAACAGCCTGGCACAGGTCTCTGGCAGACAGAGCTTCTGTGACTGTTGGAGGAAGAATCAAAGTTCTGTGTCATGTATAGATATGACGGTCCTCACCTTTTTCACTTGTGACTGAGACGACAATAAAGGGTCCAATGCTCAAGAAGGTGAGCATTATGATGAGCTTAACACAAGCGCTACTTGCGTTGTCAAAGCAGAAGCTGATCAGGTAGATAAGGGGGATGATAGCCCAGCCATAGAGCATGAATGTTAAGACAACAGCTGGGAAGTTTTCCTGGCGTGTAAAGGCTTCTTCCTTGTAGTACAAAAACACCACCTTAGGAAACGGGGTGGGGGTGGGGGGAGAATTTGAAAAATTCACTCAGTCAGTCCTAAGCATTAGAGAAAGAACTTGATAATATCAATGTTAAAAATAAGTTGTTAGTATAAGTTGTTAGTAATACAGCACAGGCAACTCCCTTCACCCAACAATGCAGAGACAGGAGGCTCTGTCCCTGAAAATCAGGGGCTCAAAGATGTTTACAAAGCACACAGGCAAAACAAAGGAGGATGTGATCTATTCTACACAAATGACCAGGGAGCCATCAAGCTGCACAATTCAGTCATATGTGATAAGCAGCCGTTCCCTTTGTTGCTGAACACAATCCCTTGGATGAGGTGCACAAATACTTGCACCTCTCAATGACCCAGGGAGCTGTTTCTGGACTATAAACACACATCCCCATGGCACTGCTCTCAGGCTCCTCTTCTGTCTCTTTCACTACACTAGGAATATCTCCACTGAACCTAGAAGAGAGCAGAATGTCTAAGAGCCTCACATCAGACCCGGTAGGGCAGGGAGGACTTGCCAATGGACTCCCCCAATCCCTGCTCCTCCTGGGTACCTCATCATCAACCCTCATCTACATCTGAAACCTGACATAGTCTTGCCCACAATTCCAGTGATACCCTTGGCCTGCAGGATCCCCTCCTGAAGCAGCAGCTCTGGGAATGCCACAGAGGAGACCCTAGAGCAGGCCCCTCTGCTCCAAATGATGTTGGGACCTGAATTATCTTTTACTGGGGGTCAACAATGAAGGTGCTTTCACACACTGAGTCACCAATCAGGGGCTGAGCTGCCAGTCTAAAATTTGGGTCTGGTTCCAGTTCTTTGCAGGTTCCCCAAAACAAGCCCCTTGTGACATGCAGGGGAAGAGTCCCAGCACCATGCATCCCTCACCAGCACCAGCAGAGTGGGGACGAGGAAGGAGATGAGGTCCCACAGCAGAGCGGAGAGCCAGAAAGTGGCCTTGTGTACTCCACTGATGAACTGGATGTGCTTGGCCTGGCTGGATCTCTCTTTGACTGTAAAGATGGAAAAAGAGCTCGACAGGAAAGCCAAACCAAATAGCAAGTTGACAATGAAAAAATGTCTTTTACTGCCCCTGTAAAATATAGCATACGAGGAGAAAAGTATCAGTTTATGTAGAACTACTCTCAGCAACCACTTTCCAAAATAGCAATTTGTAATTAAAATCACAGACAGACAAAGGAAGAAACAGGTGGTGAAGGGAGGAAAGCTTTAACTGGAAGGGGAGAAGTCACACATACTCAAATAGAATATTCTCGGAGTTCTCCTTGGTTGACAGAGGTTGAGGGTAGTTGACTACCGTAACTGAAGCCCTGGCACCAGAGAGCAGCTTGAAGAGAACATTGTCCACCAGTGCCAGTGCCAGAGCAGGGGAATGGTATGCCTGGTTGTTGAACAGCGCTGTCACTATGGTTTGGTTATTCATATCTTCAAAGGAAGCTGCCACTACGTAGTTCTGATCAAAGTTCTCAGGCTCCTCTTCTGCCTTTTTCAGTAGGAATGCCTCCACTGAACCTAGAAGAGAGCAGACCATCTATCTGAAAGCTTCATACCCAGTGAGGCCAGGAGAGCTTGCTGTTGCTCACCCCAACCCCTGCTCCTCCTGGGTATCTCATCACCAATCCTCACCCACATCTGAAAGTGGGCTCCTCCTGACATGCCTTGCTCTCAATTCCAGTTATCCCCTTTTCCCACAGGGCAAACCCCATGACCTGGGATCTCATGACCATGGGACCTCAATAAAGTTTGACTGAAGCAATAAAAACAAACAAACAAAAAACCCCAAAAATGTCTTGTCTAGTCCTCTTCTAAATTTCTTTCAGCTCTGTCTACTCTTCTTCTTCCTTTTGGACTACGTGACTCTAATAGAGCTCTTTGCCTTCTGCCTAGTCCCTTCAGTCTCTGCGTGAGAGGGCACATCTGGTTACATTGTGTCCCACTGAACAAGTTCAAGCAAATCCCACTGCCCTTGGGATAAAGCCAACTTCCTGCACATATTCTACAGTGCCCAACTGCTATCCAAATTCAGCTTCCCATCTTTAAGTTCTAGCCATGCTTAAGGACTCATGCTCCCATGCCTACAAATGCTCTTCTCAAGGTTTGGAATGTTCTATGGGTCAATTTCTATTCATACCTCAGGCTCTTATTCTGAAGCCTCCTCTGGCCCTCCATGGCTGAGATACGTCTATGTGATTCCATAGCACTTCAATCATCATCATTATTGTCAATTTGCATTGTAACTATTATCACTTATCCATATGACCTCTTGGCTAGAAGGTCACTAATGGCTGGTAATAATACTGTTCATCACTGTATTTCTAGCACACAAGGCCATGTGAAATATATGACTCATCTAACATTCTGGAATCTCTAGTGCTGGGAGGAACCTTCAATCACAGCAATGACAATAATGATAATTGTTCCACTGACTGACGGCTTACTGAGTGCCACCTGAGCAAAGCCCTTGATAGGCATTCCCTCATGGAATCCTTGTGATTTATTTATTATTTTCTCTATTTGCATATGAAGAAACCAAGGTTTAGAGAGGTGGGGTACTATGATACAAGTAGTATATTATGTTTCTTTTTTGTACCATTTTGCCTTTGATTTCATGTTCTGCATTTGCTTTCTTTTTTTAAAAAAATATGTTTTTATTGATTTTTTTAGAGAGAGAGGAAGGGGGAGAGAGAGAGAAACATTGATCAGCCACCTCCTTTATGTCCTCTACTGGGAATCGAGTCCACAACCCGGGCATGTGCCCTGACTGGGAATCAAACACCAGCCAGGCTGCATTTGATTTCTTTATTATAAAACATAATTACTTAAAATTTTTATTTTAATAAAAATAAAATATGGCCCTGGCCGGTTTGGCTCAGCAGTTGGAGCATCAGCCTGTGGACCAATGAGTCAAGGGTTTGATTCCAGTCAAGGGCACGTACCTCTGTTGCAATTCGTCACCAGCCCTGATTAGGGTCATGTGGGAGGCAGCCAATCAATGTGTCCCTCTAACATCGATGTTTTTTTTCTCTCTCTCTTCTCCTCTCTCTCCCTCCCACTCTATCTGAACAAAAATGGAAAAATATCCTCAGGTGAGGATTAAAAACAAAACAAACAAAAAATATGAATATAATTTTAAAAATTCAAATAATTATACAAGACTTATAATGAGATGCCCTGGCCAGTTTGGCCCAGCGGTTAGAGCATCGGCCTGCGGTCCAGAGAGGCCCAGGTTCAGTTCCCGCTAGGGGCGCGTACATTGGTTGCAGCTTGTCCCCGGCCCTGGTCGGTTGTGCGGGTGGAGGCCACTCCATGTGTTCCTTTCACATCGATGTTTCTCTCTCTCTCTCCCTCCCATTCTACCTGAACAAAAAAGGGAAGAATGTCCTCAGGTGAGGATAAAAAAAAAAAAAAAAAAGACTTATAATGAGAAATGGCACTACCCTGGCCTACTCTTCACTATCCTCAGTGCCTGCTGACCAAAGGCAACCACTTTCCAATCTTTTAGCTGGTGTTTTTTCAGATTGCTAGAGAACACATTTATTTATTGACAGCCTTTTATGGAAGCAAGGATTTTGATCTCTTAGGACTATTCCTACCCCTATGGTCTTCCCCTCCCCTCTTCACCCTCTAGAGTTATATCACAGATTTGGTTAAGTCAATAGTCAGTTTTCATATTATTATGACTAAGTAAAAATTATTCACAGCTGAGCCAAATAGTGTGTGATGATTTTTTTTTTTTTGGTGTACCCCCATCCCCAGAGTTAATATCCTCTTTTTCTCATCACCAAGTCATCCACAAACTCCCTTGATAGAAGTGAAAATCTCTCAACACATTAAAATATGTCAAAACATTTATCAGTTTAATTTTTGGACATGCTTTAGTCCCCAGAAAGACACAACTTGGTGTCTAGGAACCCTCCATTTCCTATCACTTGAGGTTTGAAAGAGCCTTTTTTTCTGAGACTTTAGGCTATTCAGTCTGATTTCAGGGAGTATCATGGGCCTGGTACTTACTCGAGATCTCCAGAGGAATCTGTTTCTCAGCCACAAGCATATTTGTAAAATTTTTTGAAAGCTGAGGACCCAGCCTGGAATTCGGAGAAATAAAGAATGGAACAATAGTTTGTCCGTGTATTTTTAGTGCCAGCTCCAATGGGACATTTGTCAGGCTTGCTTTGAAGTTGATGGCTTTGAGGCTGACTATAATGATCGCCAGAGGCACCAGGATCTGTATGGACAGCATCATTATCCAGTGTCGCCGAGCATATGTAATCCTTTTCAGGAGCATGGCACAGAACTGTTGGCATAGAAGATGGAGCTACAATAAAAAAAAGGGAGATGCACCATTAACATGGTCACAGATAGAAGCTGACAAACAGTTAAGTGGCCCCTGGCTCATGTCCAACTGTATTCTCTTACAATTGTCTAACATCTTGATTTTGTTCAAAATTGGTTACAAGTTAAAATTCTTTTACCTAATGATTTGATTGACATTTAATGACAAAGGAAAAGAAGACAAAGATTGGAAAGAGTCTGGAAGAGTAGCCTAAACAGATACCAAATGTAAACAAGGTACTTTTTTTTTTTTTTTTACCTATCAGACTGGCAAAAATGTTAAGTCCATGAGGATGTGGGAAAAATACCACTGCTGAGGTTTTAATTTGGTATAAGAAAACAAATTAGTTGGATAAATAAAATTTAATATTCTCATAGTCTTCAACCTAGAAATTCTACTTCTAGTAATGTATCCTACAGGTATACTTGTATAAGCATACAAACCCATGCACAGGATGTCCCTGTGGCACTGATGGTAAGGGTCAAGAATACAGTCATGTGCACTGAGGTCCTAAGATTTAGAGTTGGGCCTAGGGGTGGGAGACCCTGGAGGTTAGCACCACATGTTCCCACTCAGCTTCTATGTGGTACTGCCTGAGCTGGGACAGAAAGGACGTCCTTCAAGCCTCAGGCACCAGTGTTCCTTGTGCATGACTTGTCCACCCAAGAACCTTTGTAGTGGTCAGGTCTGAGTCAGGCATTCCTAAGCTCCTGGCCCCAAATACCAACAAATTCCTAAAAGTTTCTACCAAACAATCCCCCAAGTTTTCCACACTTGATATGATGGAGGCTACATGTGCCTTAAGTGTTCATCAAAAGGCACTGCTATTGACTTGTCCGAGGTGGCACCCTGAGAAATACTTCCTGGGAAGACTCTGGAGCTATTTCCAAAGCAAAGGTTGTCAAAGTGGAGGCTGGATAGAACCTTTCTGGGGGCTGGAGAATAGTCTCCTGCACAGGGTAGGTGGCTGGCCTAGATGACCCCCAAGACCCTTTCCAACTCAGAGGCTTCATAGATGACAGCTTCTCCTTTAATATGTGATTCAAGAGTATGAAACAGTGAAATTAATCTCTTCACTAACCCATGAAAACCAGTCTCATTATTTCACAGTAATACTTTGTAGAGAGGTAAATCAAGACCACCTTGTTAAATTTACTTTTAAATAAAATATTCTTTTTTCAACATTAAAGCATATTATAGGTTGTCCCTTCATTTCATAAGGGTAAATATATTTTTTATTATTTATTTCTTAATTTATTTTTGTTACAGATGTTTCTCCTTTTCCCCCCACTGATTCCCCCCTTCCCATCCCTCCTCTCCCTCCCCAGTTTTGTTGTCCATGTCCATTGTTCATGCATACACGCATATAACGTCTGTGGTTTATCTCTCCCCGACCCACCACCCCCTCTTCTGGGGATTGTCAGTCTGTACCCCACTTCCACGTATCTGGGACTACCCCATTCCTCAGACTGTTATGTTCATTATATTCTACAAATAAGTGAGATCATATGATACTTGTCTTTCTCTGTTTGGCTTGTTTCACTTAGGATAATACTTTCCAGGTCCCTCCATGTGGTCTCAAAGGATAAGATCTTTCTTTCTTACAGCTGCATAGTACTCCATTGTGTATATGTACCACAGCTTTTTTATCCATTTGTCCACTGATGGACATTTGGGCTGTTTCCAGATCTTAGCTATTGTAAATAGTGCTGCTACAAACATGGGGGTACATATATTCTTTCTGATTGGAGTTTCAGGCTTCTTAGAGTATATTCCTAGAAGTGGAATCACTGGGTCAAATGGAAGCTCGATTTTTAATTTTTTGAGGTAACACCATATTGTTTTCCATAGTGGCTGCACCAGTCTGCATTCCCACCAGCAGTATACTAGAGTCCCCTTCTCTCCACACCCTCGCCAACACTTGTTGTTTGATGCTTTGTTGATGGCGGCCATTCTGACAGGTGTGAGGTGATACCTCATTGTTGTTTTAATTTGCATCTCTCTAATGATTAGAGATGTTGAGCATTCCTTCATATGTCTCTTGGCCATTTGTATGTCCTGCTTGGAGAGATGTCTATTTAGTTCTGCCCATTTTTCAATTGAGTTGTCTTCCTTTTGTTGAGTTGTATGAGCACTCTCTATATATTGGAAATTAACCCCTTATCTGATATATCATTGGCAATGATGGTCTCCCATACAGTGGGTTACCTTTCCATTTTGATGGTTGTTTCTTTTGCTGTGCAGAAGCTTTTTAGTTTGATGTCAGTCCCATGTGTTCATTTTCTCCTTTGTTTCTGTTGCCTTAGGTGATATATCAGTGAAAATTCTGCTGCGTATGATGTCTGAAATTTTGTTGCCTACAGTTTCTTCTAGGATTTTTATGGATGCACGGGTCACATTGAAGTCTTTTATCCATTTTGAGTTTATGTTTGTGTATGGTGCAAGTTGGTTTAGTTTCATTTTTTTGCATGTAGCTGTCCAATTTTCCCAACACCATTTATTAAAGAGGCTCTTTACTCCACTGTATGCTCTTGCCCCCTTTGTCAAATATTAATTGAGCATATTGCGTTGGGTCCATTTCTGGGTTCTCTGTTCTGTTCCACTGGTCTATCAGCCTGTTCTTGTGCCAGTACCAGGCTGTTTTGATTACAGTGCCTTTGTAGTATAACCTGAAATCTGGTAATGTGATCCCACCAACTTTGTTCTTTTTTTTCAAGATTGCTGTGGCTGTTTGAGGTCTTTTTTAGTTCCATATGAACCTTTGAAGTATTTGTTCTAGTTCTGTGAAGCATGTCGTTGGTATTTTGATGGGGATTGCATTGAATCTATAGATTGCTTTGGGTAATACGGACATTTTAATGATGTTAATTCTTCCAATCCATGAACAAGGTATGTGCTTCCACTTTTTTATGTCTTCCTCTATTTCTTTTTTCAATTACCTGTAGTTTTCTGCAAATAGGTCCTTTATTTCTTTGATTGAGTTTATTCCTAAGAATCTTAATATTTTTGCCGCTATGGTAAATGGGATTGTTTTTTAGTTTCTCTTTCTGTGAGTTCATCCTTGGTGTATAAGAATGACATTGATTTCTTGACGTTAATTTTGTATCCTGCTACTTTGCCAAATTCATTTATTAAGTCTAGTAAATTTTTAATGGAGTCTTTGGGGTTTTCAACGCATACTATCATGTCATCTGTGAATAATGACAGTTTCGCTTCTTTCTTTCCAATTTGGATCCCTTTTATTTTTCTTTCTTTTCTGATTGCTGTGGCTAAGACTTCCAGTGCTATGTTAATTAAGAGTGGTGAAAGTAGGCATCCTTGTCTTGTTCCTGTTCTTAAGAGAAATGCTTTTAGTTTTTGCCCATTGAGTATGATGTTGGCTATAGGTCTTTCATATATGCCCTTTATTATGTCAAAATATGATCCCTCTATTCCCAGATTGCTGAGCATTTTTATCAGAAATGGGTGCTGGATTGTGTCAAATGCTTTTCAGCATCTATTCATATGATCATATGATTTTTTCTTTCATTTTGTGTATGTGGTGTATCACATTTATTGATTTACCAGTATTGTACCAGCCTTGCATCCCTGGGATGAATCTCACTTGGTCATGGTGAATAATTTTTTTGACGTATTGCTGGATCCGATTTGCTAGTATTTTGTTCAGGATTTTGTCATCTATGTTCATCAGGGATATTGATCTGTAGTTTTCTTTCTTTGTGTGTCTTTTTCTGGTTTTGGAATTAGAATTATGCCGGCCTCATAAAAACGAGTTGGGAAGTCTTCGTTCTTCTTGAATTTTTTGAAATAGTTTGAGGAGAACGGGTATTAGTTCTTCTTTGAATGTTCGGTAAAATTCCCCCATGAAGCCATCCAGGCCTGGGGTTTTATTTGATGGGAGAGTCTTGATTACATCTCCAATTTCTTTTGTTGTTATTGGTCTGTTCAAATTTTCTCTCTCTTCCCGGTTCAGTTTTGGGATACTATGTGTTTCTAGAAATTTGTCTATTTCACTTAGATTGTTGAATTTGTTGCCCTATAATTGTTCATAGTATTTGTTCACAATCCTTTGTATTTCTGTGGTGTCAGTTATTATTTCTCCTCTTTCATTTCTGATTATGTGTATTTGGGTTCTCTCTCTTTGTTTCTTGGTGAGTCTAGCTAAGGGTCTATCATCTTGTTATCTTTTCAAAGAACCAGCTCTTTGTTTCCTTTGATCCTATGAATTGTTTTTTTGGTCTCTATGTCATTTATTTTTGCTCTGATCTTTACTATTTCCTTCCTTCTACTTGCTCTGAGGTTTTCTTTTTATTTGCTTTCTATTTTTTAAGTTTTTTAAGTTGTGAGGTTAGATAGTCTATTAGAAATTTTTCTTGCTTCCTGAGGTAGGCCTGTAGTGCTATGAACTTCCCTCTCAGAACTGCTTTCCCTACATCCCATAGATTTTGTGTTGCTGTGTGTTCATATTCATTGGTTTCCAGAAATTTTTTAACTTCTTCCTTGATCTTCATGGTAACCCATTTATTGTTCAATGACATGCTATTTAGCCTCTATTTTTTCAAATGTCTTTGCATGTTCTTATTGCAATTGATTTTTAGTTTCATGCTATTGTGATCTGAGAAGATACTTGATATGATTTCAATCTTCTTGAACTTGTAGAGACTTAGTTTGTGGTCTATCTTTGAGAATGTCCCATGTGCACTTGAGAAGAATGTGAATTCTGTAGTTTTGGGATGTAATTCTCTTAAGATATCTATTAAATCCATTTGATTTAGCACTTCATTTATAGTCTATGTTTCCTTGTTAATTTTTTGTCTAAATGATTTATCCAGTGATGTCAGTGGGGTATTGAAGTCCCCTGCTATGATTGTATTGCTGTTAATTTCTCCTTTGAAGTCTTCCAAAAGATTTTTTATATATGTTGGAGCTCCTAAATTGGTTGCATATATGTTTACCAAAGTTATATCTTCCTGGTGGATAGA